CACGGTAGAGGAATAAAGCTTCTACTGCTGCTGAGTATGGGGCTGAGCCTGGCCTGGACCGTGCAGGATGAAATTCAGATTCCTCTGTGGCTGTGCTTCCCCATTGAGCAGCTGATGGATAAAGCAGGGAGTCACCCCATATCTCCACTTATTTTTCCAGGTCTATCACCTTACAGTGTCTTGACAGCCACTCGCAGCAACGGGGATCAAAGGAGTGGCATTCTACTTGAGGCCCAGAACTTGAGGACACTCTGCCAGGTCTCCTACAGTGTGGGGCACCTTAAAGCCCACTACAGCTGCCAAGGCCCAGGAGGAACCTGAACCTAGGGACCAAATAGGAGACAGGGTGCCAGGCCCCCTGCTATGTATGTATCTTATTGTATAGAGAACATATGGTAGGGACACCCTCTCTCTTTAGGGATGTGGAGAGAGAGCCACCACGTTCTAAGAGCCTTCTCCATGGCCAGTGGGTACACTGCGCTGGCCTGTCTGGCTGGAAGCAGAGCAGAGTCAGTAGCCCCCAAGGTTCCTTCTCAGCACCTCTGCGGGACATGCCTGGCTCCTCTCTGTTGTGATCCTCTGCCCAGGGAGATGGGTCCCCAGGACTCTGTGGCCAGGACAGAACCTGACTCTGCAGTTGACAGGCTGGCCCACCCTCAGGCTGGCTTCTTCTGACCTGCCTGTCAGAGAGGAAGGAGGTGCCTACCTGAACTTCATGACCTTCTGGACAACGGCAACCTGAATGTCACCTACTTCTGAAGGTAGTCTGGCATGCCTAGACCTCTGACCAGGTTCTGGGAGGTGCACTGTCATCATCACCTCCCAGATCCCCAGCTATTCACCACTCAGGCCTGAGAGGATCTCAATGATTCTGATCCTCTGGGCTGCTCTCTAGAAGTTGGGAAACCTTTGGGGCGCCATCTGGGTGAGCCAGGTGGCCACCAGGACACAGCTCCCACAGACCTGGCTCAGGAAGGCCATTTTCCTCTTAGAATAGATGGAAAGTACATGGAGGAGTTCTACACTGCAGAGAAGACTGACAAACCTGGATCCTACATCTTTGAGTGTGAGTGAAAGTAGCTGCTGCCCCCTCCCTGGGTGGCTCGGGCAGGCTGTAACGATGGGCTGCAGTGTAGATGCGACTGAACAGGGAGGTCAGGGAAGGGCAACCCCATAGACCTCACAGCTATGTCTTTAGAAACTCAAAATCCAATAAACAAGGGCTCCAGCTGTGTTCCCTTGCAATGCCAGGGCCCCCATAATCCTTCTGAAACTCAGCACAGAGATGACCCATCTTCAGATGGCAGGCAGTGTGACAGGGAGGCTGGCAGGGAGAAGGGATCAGGAGCTAAGCTCACCCAGCTGAAGCTCTGCACTGCTGTGTAAGGGTTTCTCTTTGGAACAGATGTTGCTCAGGCAGTGTTGGGGGGAGGAGCAGGAATCCAGATAACAGAAGACAGAGTGGGAGACCCTTGAGCCCTTCCCCTTTGCTGAACATTCCAACCCTCTTTCTGGCCAAGAAAAGACCCAGATCAAGACATGAGGCGAGAGAAGGTTGGTGAAGCAGAGGCAGGAGACAGAGTGGCTGCTGGCTGGGCTTTGTACCCCTGGCTATGCTGGCTACTGTGGGCTGAACATGTGGATATGGAGTCAGGCTGGGCCATTGCCAGAGAGGACAGATCAGTCATGGGAAGCTCAGGATTCCAGGAAACACATGGGTCCCAGAAGGCTTCATGACCATTTAGTTTCTTGTCACAGACCAAGTCAAAATGTATCTAACTTTTGAGGATATTACTGATGGATGACTAGATCATCATGGACTTGGAAAGCCAGGACAAAGGAGGCACTCTCATTGTGGCTGACCTTCATGGTGGGTGCTATCTGCACCCACAGCCTCAAAGACTTCAGGAAATGGCAGGACTTGAGGTGGAGAGACGGGTGGGGAGGGTGGGGAGACTAGGGGCTAGAGCTACTCTCCCTACCCCAAGTACCCTCACTACGAGTGTCTCCGTTCAACTATGCCTTCAATCCTGCTGGTTCTAGGCAGGACTCTGTCCGAAGGTCTGATTAATCTGTTGGAACACTATAAAAAGCACACATCCAGAAGAGGCATCTTACCAGAGAACATTGTGGTAATTATAGCCCTTTGTAGGTAGGTTTCCCTTCCTTCATCTTTTTCTCTGTAGGAGCTCAGCCACAGTGGCTGGAAATCTATGTTGTAGGCCACAGTGCTGAGGGCGGGTGACAGGATGAGGAGTCTGTCTGCTCCTTAGCAGAGCTAGGGCTGATCTGAAGAGGAGCCCTGGAGGGAGAAGGGGACTCAAGTCTCTGACCTATGCTTCCTCTTTGGCCCACAACAAGATGTGGCTCTTGAGGTCTGTAAGTAGCTAGACTCCTTCCTGTCTTCATCCCCCATATTCTGGCAGATAGACTTTTCCAGGGAGCATGCTGCAAAGTATAACACCCCAGCCAGTATAGCAGTCAGGGCTTGTGAACGATGCTGCACCCAGGGCCCAGCCTGGATTAGAACATCAGGTGGGCCCAGGAGGACGCAGGCTCTCTTCAGGGTATATGCACCCCAGATGTACCCTTGCATGCATCTTGTGCATGCACACATGCCTCTGAATGCATCTTGAGTGTGTATACTCTATTCCTAACTACTCCTGTGCAGTCATGCTCACCATGCTTTGCTCAGAACCCCTGCTAGGCACAAATCTTTGCATGGCTCTGCTGAGCAAAGGAACACTCCCTTTCCCAGCACTCCTGGGTCCAGGCTCTCCTCTCAGTTCTGTCTCCTGGCTTCCCAGACTTCCTCTTCATACCCTCAAGAAAGCAGGATCACCCCTGTCCACCATAGCAGAGCAGAGTGTGGAGAGACTCCATAGGTCTCTTAAAACCCTCACCCTAAGAATTACACTGTAAGATGGGGACAAGGGCTCAGGGTTTGGTGGATCTGGGGAATTATGACCCTGGTGGAGAGCTTGGTGACCACATTGCTCTCTCCCAGGTGTGTGAGACCTAAGAGATAAAGACAACATGGAGGTGGAAGGAAGGAGGCTGTCCCTGGGAGGAAAGGACAGAGAGAAACTCGAGGGTACTGATCTGCAGCCATAAGCTCGCCTAGATTGTGAAAGTTCCTGTGGTTTGAGGTCATCCACAGAGCATCTGCTTTCTCCTAGACCAGGTCTGTGCAACACCAGAATCAGCATTTTGATGGGCTCCATCTCTTGAAGCTTTTGACCTTCAGTGCTGACCTACCCTTTCCCATGTGATAAATAAACTCAACATCTGCCTCCAGTGACTTCTTCTCTGCACCCAAAGGCCACAGAATCCCTACGCTCAGAGGGAGCTCCCCAAGGGAGGAGTGGCACCCGCCTAGATTCTGACAAGGTTGGGCAGGGAAGGTGTCTTCAGGTAGCAGTCTCATGCCCAGGGCAGCAAGCTGGGCTCTGAGGGACTCAGGGAGTTTGGGATTCCTGAAGCTGAGCTCTCCAGGCCTGCTCTGCGGAGGACCCATCGGTGTATATCTGAGCAAGCAAACTTGAATAGTCCAAAGACGAACATTTGCCACCTTTCTACAGTCCTTGCCCCCCCCTTCCCTTCCAGAACCTATAACAGCCTTATAAGATCAGCCAAGGCCAGGTCAGCCATGTGCTATGGACCAGCCCAGTCGGGCTCCCGGCGTCCTCGGGAGAACAAGGCTTTGGACAGGAAAACACGGATTTGGCGAATTGACAGACAGAGACCAGTGAGGCTTTGGAATCTGCTGCAATTTTACTGAAGTCAAGCTGATATTTTTATAATGATCTTACAAAAAGGCACCTTAAAGTTGGCATACTTCCCAGAACATTTAGACTTTTACCAAGAATACAAAATTTACATTTTAACATAGGGGAGTGCCCACAAAAAATCTTGGCCTAAAAACTTTTGATCAAAGCAGACAAAGGGAAAGAAACCTCAAATGCAGTTTCATTATTGCTAACCAATGAAGAGGAAAGTCAGGAGCTAAGTCAAATGCCTGCCAAAGTCTAAACACACCTTTGTCAACCATACTCCCATATGTCCTGCTAAAGATTTACGATCTTCCCTAGGAACAAGGCACTGAAGGGAGGGGAAACTCCCGCCAGCTGTTCTTCTCATGCTATTTTTTCTTAAAAAGGAACCTATTATTTTTTTACTATTCTTATAATGTCTATTGATACTAAATCTGATTTATTACTTTTCTTAAGCTTATTCTTTTTACATTTTATTCTTATTAAAGCCTTTAATAATTTACTAATGATAAATTTCTTTATAGAGTTAGTTGTGCTGTTTTAGGAGTCATAAAGAAAGATCAAAAAAACTCATTAATCCAGCCCCACAACTGCAACCGAAAAAGCGTAGAACGCGTCTCTTTGCCAGGCGGGGGGTCTGCCAGGGACCTCCAGAGAGCATAATCCTGAAGGACACATACCTCTTAGTCTGAGTAGTGCTATCTATTGATATGCTACACCAGACGCTGGAGTGGGTGTGGCAGCCATGGGCAAGGATGTCCTGTCTTCTAGGACACGAAGAACACATCACGAGGTCTCTCACAGCCCAGGTCATTTTATCTGTGTCCTGGAGTGGAGGGTAGGACTTCACCCAAGCAAGCTAAGTCAAAAAGATCTTGCAGGTCAGGCCAAATCCTCCCTAGCTGGGCTTCTAACCTTTCCTGACAAGTGACCATTTCCTGCCTTAGAAGGCATCAGCTGTAATTCAACTTAACTATGAAGTTAAGGAGCAGACAAGCGCCTGGCTAACGTCAGCTAACTCAACCCCTGTGGGAAGCCAGACCCCTGATTATGCTGTGACAAGATAATCCTGCACCAAACCCAAAGATGGGGCTGCCCCTGTCCCTGAGCCAGGTCCCCACAGAACACAAGAGGTCAGGGGCTGGGAAAAGGCCCAGAGAAGGTGTCACATTTGGTGTGAGCTGGACAGGAAGCTGCTGGGACCTGCTGCTCTTGGCCCAAGGGGTCATGGCACTGGAGAGTGGGTTTCTACTGATGTTGGTCATCAATATAAACCTGGCCCAGAAGATTCTGAAAGAGGTGCCAGTGCAGCCAAACTTTGACGCACATAAGGTGAGTAGCATTAAGGAGTGAACAATCCTGGGGAATGACTCTAAGGCAAAGGGAGACACTAGAAAAGTGGCCACCTGGTGCTGTCCTGGATACATGGGACAGAGTGGACATGAGGCTAGGAGCGAGGGTTGGTGAGAGGCACTGATAATAAACAGGTAGTGGCTGGGCACTCACATTCCTCAATTCTGTCTGAGACACTCTCTGTATTTGCCTGTGCCTCCTCCATATTTCAGGGAAGGAGCTGTTTGGGTGTGAGGTGAGCAAGGATGTGGGAGGGTCCTTCCACTCCTGCTTCTATGGCAGTGCATGAACACACCAGGAGAACAGCAGATCTGGGGACAAGAGGCTACACCTTAGAGGGTAATAGACACACCTGTGACCTTTTGTAACCTAGCCACAAATCTCTCCCTGGGTCCCTAGGACAGACTTGCAATGCAGTTAAGCTGCCCCAGCAGGCTTGCCATGTTTTTGCTTCACTGACTTGAGTGTCACCAAGCTCTGTTGTCAGTCCTAGGGAAGACTAAAATGTGAAGGGCTTGGAGGACTGCAAGGCTGGCCATCAACTGCTTAGAAGTGGGATGCTTGGGCTATTCTCAGAAATGGGGAGCTGCCTGGACCTACTGCTCTTAGCTCCAGGGGCCATGACACTGGTGAGGGGGTTGCTACTGATGCTGGCCATCAATACAGAGATGGCCCAGAAGAATCTGGAAGAGGTGCCGGTGCAGCCAGACTTTGATGTGCATAAGGTGAGTGTCATGGCCTGACTGGCTCAGGGCTGTGATAAGGACTGGGTGCGGGGTCACACTGAGGGTGTGCTCCAGCCAGGAGCAGAGGCTTGGGCAGCCCAGCCTCCCAGGACCTCTGGCAGACGTGGGGCCCTTTAGTTAACTCTGGGGTTCTTTCCTGGGTAATTGAATTTTATGCCTTGGATGTGAAAGCAGAGCCAGAGTTGGGGTGAAAAGTCCCCACTAGGGTAACATGTAGCACAAAGTATGTCCCAGTGTCCTGTCTGCCCTGTCTGTCCTGCCTGTCCATCTCTGAGTCTTGGTGCTCAGAATCAGATGTAACTCTGGATACCACCAGGCAGGGAGGGTTAGTGGAAGCAATTCCAAGCCACCATGGCTCTGGGGAGGAAAGTCCATATCAGAGAGAGGAAGGAGGGATAGGAGAAATGAGGGGAGGATATTGAGGAAAGGACAGAGGGGGAAGAAAAGCTGGAAGAGAATGGGGGTGAATATTTCCAAGTAGGAAGTCACAGCTCTGACCTGGGAACCCTAAGTTCACTGATGTTGGGGGCTGGGGTGGCCATGTATACATCCTGGGGGCCTGTGCCCATATGCTGACCAGGCTTAGAGTTATAGTGCCTTACATTGAGACTAGAAGCTCAGAACTATCTATCTCCCATGCCCATACCACTGCAGGTGGAAGGACGTTGGCTTACCATCCGGATGGCCACTAACCTCAGGCACCTGGTCTTGCCCACTGACCCTCTGAGACTTTCTCTCCACTCCATTTGGACCAGAGGCAGTGGGGATGTGGAATTTGTGCTGTTTGAGATGTGAGTCTCTGTGGTAACTCTTATTTCATGCCCGGAGCCCTGAGGAGTTAGCACAGGTGGCCAGAGGGACCACGGTACTGTGCCAGGCTAAAGGCTATAGCTTGCAATGTGTGGGACCCAAGGCTTAAGAGAAATAGCTAACAGAAGAGGCACATGGTCAGCTGCAAGACCTGAATGACCTGCTCCAAAGGGCAGAGAATGTGGCCCTGCCTCTCGCCATAGAGGGAATCTCATATCTGGTTCTTTTATGTGCAATTCTTTCTACTTAAAAGTGGTAAAGTTTCCCAGGCTTGGAGGTATATGTATTTAATCCCAGAAGTTTTGAAGTAGAAGTAGGATGATCGTGAATTAAGGTCATAGCTAGATAAGGAGTCCAAGAACAGGCTGAGCCCCAGGAAACATGGGCTTTGTCTAGAGCAGGAACCATGGGGAGAAAAAGAGGTCAGGGTCTTGATTCCAATATCCAACTCTGAGGACAGTCTGAGCTCAGTATCTTCTGGAAGGTCTGGTTTCATCCAACTACAACCAGCACCTGTGGCTACCAGCATCTCTCTCCATCTGTCTAACCCTAATGAAGGCTGCTCCCAAACACTGGGAGTTGAGCACCCTGGGGAGGACTTCCAGGCTTTCAGCCAGGGTCACCTCCAATGTTTCTCTGTGCCCTGAGCTAGCCACTCTTCTTTCTAGAGGAGAGGGGGTTTGCGCAGGATTAAATGTCACTGTCCATCCAACTGGGCTCCAAGGCCAGTACCAAGGAACCAGTGAGTACTTCATGGGGAACCCTGGGCCCTGTGTGCATGAGAGGGGATCAAGCTGGGGAGTCCAGGTATCCTTCACAGAGAAAAACACCAGGGGGACCTGCCAGCCTTGGACAGGCTGTCACATTCTCTGTGGGGAGATGGAGTCCTGGAGACAAAGACAGAGCATGACGAGTCACACCCGGTTCTCCACAGTTGAAGGGGGCAGCATGCACGTCCACTTCGTCAGCACTGACTACAACAACCTCATTCTTTTTGTACGCTTTGAGGACTACGAAGTCATCAACCTGTGGGCACTTCTGGGTAGGTGATGGCTCTCCCTAGCGCTGGATTCTGGGTCTAGGTCCTGGATAGGTCTTGATCACTCTAGTCTGACCAGAGACTTTGTATCTGGAAGGGGAGTCTCATGATGACTCTTCACAAAGCTGTAACCAGGCATTCCGCCATCCAGGCACAACACACTGTTTCACACACTCATTGCTCACTCGGTTACCCATTCACTCTCTTCTTCAGCCCCCAAGCATCAAGTGGCTGGTGTTACAGTCTGGAACTGTCTTTGGTGTTGGGGTAGTAACAGGGTCCTTTCAGGGTCCCCAAAAGGAATGTGTCAGGGGAGAGAGACCTGGGGAGCTTATGAGAGGTTGCCATGCAGCTGTTGCATCTTGAAGACTGGAGTAGGTGGGATTGGCCACAGCCAGGGTCCTGGGTGATCCTGAGTGTAGCCGAGAGCCTCAAGCTCTGAGAAGGATGGGGTGGGGTGTGGAGGAAGAGCACAGATGTGAGAGTAGATGTTCAGTTGGGGCTCCCTGGGTCTTCACATTGAGGATACAGGCCTCACTTCTTTGTTAGAGAAGGCATTAGACTGTGCTAGAGTCAGACCTGTCCCTGTCCCACTTTTCCTTTTCTTTCTTTCTTTCTTTCTTTCTTTCTTTTTTTTTTTTTTTTTTTTTTTTTTTTTGAGTTGGGGATAGAATTTGTGGCTTCTGCATCCTGGGCATGTGCTCTACCAATTAAGTCACATTGGCAGCCTCGGACTTGCTTTGGGGGGAGACAGCAAAGGGACTGCCATGATTGCTGGGGAGGTTCTGAGTCTGGGAGGTAACTGGGGGGTGGCACTGCCATCAGTCCCACCTCGACATATACCCTGCCCTTCAAAAGAAGATCAGTGTCAGGCAGCCGACGCTCAGGGTCTCTGTACCCTGCCACCCTGCCACCCTGCCACCCTGTCACCCTGCCACCCTGCCGGGGCTCTGACCTCTTCCTGCTTACCCAGAAGTACAGCTAAGAGCTCAGAGAGCTTCATCGTCACTCAGCCCTCTAATTTCAGCTAGAAGAATGGATGAAGACCCTACATGGTTGGAGAAATACCTTGTGTTTGTAGACAGATTCCACCTTCAAAAGGCCCCCATCTTCAACACAGCTGGTAAGAGCTGCCTCTGGCTGTTTCGCAGCTGCTAAGGAGTGCCTCCCCTCCCCATCCTCTCCATTGTGCAGTAACAACACAACAACAACCTTGATGACGTTGCTTTTCTGGACTGACCTGTCCTGGGTGGCTCCCCTGTCAGGCTGGCAATTGCTGACTCCATGCCATGGATGTGGTTCAGAGACAGCCCAGGGTAAGGGAGAGGGCACAACCAGGAAGAAGGCCAGGGTGTGGTCCAGATCTAGGAGTCCCCTGTCCTCAGCATTGAGCCCTTTTGCGCCACCATTTAGGGTGATCAACAAACACACAGCCATGTCTGTTCTGAGAATTTGGCAACACATGGAATGAGACAAGTGTACCCCAATTCAGGCCACACCTAAGCAGACAGCAGCAGAGCATGAGTGAGGCTGGGGTTGAACCATTTGTCAGGAGCAAAGGCTGCAGGGGCCTCCTTGCACGTGCAGAAGTCAGGAAGGGAAAGTCAAGGTTCCCTGGAAGAGGGAACATGCTGAGGATATGGGCGATGAGCCATTAAAGGAGCACAGGTTATGTGACCATCATGGGGTCTGAAGGACAAGGAGGCAGGGCAGTCTTTCATAATCAACATTTTCATATTGTAATTCATTTCTTAGCTGACTGATTTAAAGGCAATCAAGAGAAGTCTTTCATCCCATCCTTTCTCTCCCTCTGCACAGGCCAGTGTTCCTGAGATGTGGCCTAGATGAGGCGATGGCTTGAGACTTCCCACATGCCCAGCCCCCCATCTCCCACTGTTTCAGCTTTCCTTCCTTTTCCTGGGCCTCACCATGGCCCAACAGCTCTGGACGTCCCTCTACACCTCCTAGGGGCCTGGCACCTGGAGCCCAGAGCTAACCCCTGCCTGCTTGGTCTTGCCTCATCCCCTTCCTCTCTGCAGTAACCAAGTCCCATCAAAAAGTTCATATGGACTGCCAAAGCTCCCAGCCTGGCCTGTGGCTGAAGAATCATTCAGGAGACTTATGAGCTATGAGCTTGAAAGAAGGTGAGCAAATCTAGGTGCTCTGACAGAAAACTCCTGTTCTTGGGCACAGAGAATTTCACATGTGGGATGAAGAGTTTTGCAGGGCAGGGTGCTTGCCCAGCACACTCAAGACTTGGCCTCCATCCATCTTTGGTAACAAGCAAAAACTCCAACTAGAATACATAGAGGCCTGACATTCCTATGTGACCTTCAATATTTGGGGAAGCGTGACCCTCACTCTGTAATAAATAAAGCCTGGGAAAGTGAAGCAGCTGTTTTATATACTTCTCTGTAAAAGGGCCAGACGGCCAAGGAATCCAGGATAAACCAGACATGCCCGGAAAAAAGTAAGACTTAATCACCATCAGAGAGGTTCCATCCAGCAACTGATGGAAACAGATGCATAGACCCTCAGCCAAACATTAGGTGGAACTCAGTGATTCCTGTTGGAAGAAGGAGAGGAAAGTGCAGGAGCCAGAAGGTTAACATTACTTTCTTAAAAGAAAAAAATAAAAAAGACAGAAAGAAAAGAAATTCGGAAATGACCATAAAATAAATACTATAGATTGGGGGCAAGGTGGTGACACCAGAATATAAAACTCAAGGGAAAAGAGGGCCACTATAAAAACTGTATTTGTTCATCAGAGTTTTGGTAATAAGAGACCAAATACAGGGTGGTCTAGACCACAATTTTTCTGCTTGTGGCCATTTTTACTTGAGATTTTATTTATGTATTTAAAGATGAGATTTCACTGTAGCTCTGGCTGGCTTAGAACTTGCCATGTACAACAGGTTGGTGTTGAACCCACAGAGATCCATCTACCTCTGTCTCCCAAGTCATAGGATCAAAAGCATGTGCCCTCTACACCTGATTACCAGAGATATATTTCCACAACTTCAGGTTTATGTATATGTATGTGTCTATGTGTGTGTATATAGTATATGTATATGATATGTGCATGTATATATGGATAGAGATTAGATAGATAGATGTATACAAAATAGATAAATTAAGTTCACACACCAAACATTTATTGACAGCAAATAATAAAGAAAACATTTAAAAACAATTATTTGGTTTATATACCATTTTACTATTTTAAATTTACTATTTAGAGCAAATTTGCATACTAATGAGATGGATACTGGTTTATTTTTACACAGAGATTAAAGCTGGGCTCAGTATTTGCTTCTGTGAAACAGAATCTTCAGCATTTTCCAGAGTCTGGATTTTGATTTTTAATCATCCCTGAAAATGCCACATTGTACTAAGAGCGTGCAGCAGCACAAGTGTGTCTGAGGCCATTTTAGAAAGTGTTGGAAATTCTGTCTTACTCTCAAACCAAAGTTCATTTAACAAAAATTGTAAAAGAAATTCAAGTAAAGCAGCTCACACAGCAGCTTTAAAAGTCAGATATTTTAATGGTACAGTTTGATACTTCATGTTGAGAAATATAGAAAAATAAGGTCTTTGTTTCATAAAGTCAAAACTATTATGTTTCTTTAAGAGCAGAGAACATGGTGTGTACAAGAGCCCTGCAGTTCATAACATGCGGTGGCCAGCTGAGGGGTCTCTGCCTTAGTTGACTGCTGTGGGCGGTGTACAGGCACACATCAGAGTACATGCATGTTCAGAACCAAGGCTGCAGGGAAGTCATGTGGCCGAGAGTGCCAGAGCACCTCATGTCGGGATGTGACTTAATGTGATTTTCTGGTCATTACATCTCTTCAGGAGTCTTTTTTTATTTTATTTTTATTTTTATTTTTATTTTTTTACCTGACTCAGGCATTTAGTTACATGACCTGAGCTGGATGTACACAACAGTTTGCTTTCTGCCCCAGGTCCTGCGTGTCTGGGCTCTCCAAGGCTGCTCTCCTTGGCTTGCTCCTTATGCTCATAAGGTCTTCCTTCTGTGTATGCTCATGTTCTAATCATTTTATAAGGTCACCAGGCAGATTAGATTTGTTCCTCCACACTCTACAAGTCTCATTTTCACTGTATAAGCTCTGTAGAGATCCTGTCTCCAACAGGGTTGCATCCTCAGCAGCGGATGAATGCTGAGGACACAATAGGCTTGCAATACTTCCCTGCATGTTTTAAGTCCCTGTGACTCCCCACTGAGTGCTGGGCTAACCTGTGTGGCGGCACCACCCTTTGTGGAAGCTCCCTGGCCTCAGGATCTGGCTGCCCATGTCTTCCTTGCTACTCTGAAGTATGCTCGAGTATGCAGGATCAGTGCTGCAGCTCCTGCCCACCACAGCGACTGACCAGCAAGGCTGCTAAGGGCACAGCTCCCCTACAGCCTAGGAGCCCCATGAAGTAAGCCAGGCATGGTGCCGCACACCTGGAGTACTGTCTCTTCAAGGTCGAGGCAGGATGAAGGAAAGTTTAGGGCCAGATCTGACGAGTAATGAGAACTTGTTTCCAATGAACAAGGGTCAGAGAGATGGCTCAACGGTTCAGAATACAGGCTGCTCTTTCAGAGAAACTAAGTTCAATTCCTAGCACCCACATCAGACGGCTCACAACCGTGGAGAACTCTAGTTCCAGGGGGTCTAACCCCTTTTGCCTCTGCTGTCATCTTCACCCATGTGCACATTATTTCCCACACACATATAACCAAAAAGAAGTGAAATATTTTAACCCACCCCCAGACAACACAAAGCACAGATCTAAAAATGTTTCATTTGGTAAAGAGGTTGCCATACAGGTATGAGGATTTGAAATTGATCCTTAAAACCCATGAGAAAAAGCTGGGCATGGTGGTGCACACTTAGAATCCCAGCAGGGAGGAAGGTGAGGCAGGTGGGTCCCTGGAGCTCCCAGCCAGCCAGCCGTTAACCCACACAGCAAGTTCTAGGCGAATCCAGAGACCCTGACTCAGAACACAAAGTGGCTGAGTCTGGAATAATGACACCAAAGGTTGTTCTCTGGTCCTCCCACAAGCCAATGAATACCTGCGCACACACTTACACACACACTCACACTCACACACACTCACACATGCATGTGAATAGATTTGCATTTTGTGAATAGATTTTTATTTTTAAAGTCTTTCTCCATTTCAATAAAGTGTGCTCCATGTCTCATTTCTGCAACACAGGGCTAAGAGCATTATGTGTATGGACATGTGTATGCACATTCGTCCTAGATTCACCCAAATGGTATGATTCAAAATTACAAAAACAATTGATTTGGAAACAGTATACATTGGTGGGCTCTCTCAAATGTTGGTTTTTAACTAGGCGTGCTGTGTCTGTAAGGAACTGCTGCAACTTGCTTGGTACTCCATAAACACTGGTGCATCACAAGCTGTCTGTGGGATACTGAGCAATCTTAACATACCACACTTCCTGAGGGATGTTGAAGGTGGGGTCCCAGTTGTATTCTGGGGATAGAAGTTTGGTGGGTTTGTTGAAGAAAAAATGTTTGTTGAGGTACTTTTCGTAGGTACTTATAAGGCCTTTTTTTTTATCCAAGATGACACTTTTCAAGTATTCCTGAGTGAAATTCAAAACCTGAAAGGGCACTCCACCAAAAATAGTGCCAGCATAATAGAAGTCCCCCAGTCCAAAGGGAATGTAGGCTGCTGACATGGGTCTCCTCTCATAGGGGAGATCCTTCGTCTTTCGGAAATACCACCAAGCATGGAGCTGAGCTACAGATGTGCTCAGGGTCTCCACCCCAAATGTATTCTGGAAGACCATGTTGGTGCTCATGCTGAAGAGGAAATCCACTTCGTATCTGATGCGTTCCTGGATGTGCTCAGCCAAGGTTTTCATGCATACGAAGTCAAAGTTGTTGTTCCACCAGCTCTCCTCACTTATCCTGAGTATTTGGAAGGATTGCAGAGGGTTGCGCCCCATTGCAGGGACCTTCAGGTACCTATCCACCATGATGTAGAAGATCATCCTATAGCCAGGCATGAAGAACTTACTGGCTGATTGCAAGAACGGGTCCAGGTACTGGTCAGAGAGACTGAGAACACATAGGACAAGAAACATGTTACTAAATGGAATTGATACCCTTGAATGTGCTGTCAAGAGAAATGTCCTTGACACTAAAAAAAACCCCAATAGGTCAAGGTAGAGATGTTGAGCCTGAAAATACACCAAACTGGTTATCAAATCCATAGGCCTGAAAATGGCCATGCATTTTAGAAGTACTGAGTCAGAGCTGAGTGGAGCATCAGTTAAGAACTCCCAAGTGTCAGAGACATTTCCTGTTCCCATTACTAGGGAACCCACTCGGACACTGAGCTGCCATGAACTACATTTGTGCAGGGGTTCTAGGTTATCTCCATGAATGGTCCTTGGTTGGAGTATCAGTCTCAGAAAACACCTCTGTGTCCAGATTTTTTAGTTCTGTTGCTCTCCTTGTGAGCTCCTGCCCCTTCCAGGTCTTTCTATCTCCTTCTTTCATAAGATTCCCTGCACTCTGCCCAAAGTTTTGCTGTAAGTCTCAGCATCTGCTTTGATACTCTGCAGGGTACAGTCTTTCAGAGGCCATCTGTGGTAAGCACCTGTTCTGTTCTCTGTTTTCCCCCTCTTCAGATGTTCATCCTCTTTGCCTTTCTGAATGAGGATTGAGCATCTTACTCACAGTCCTCCTGATTAGCCTGCTTTTTGATCACCTCCCCCTCAGGGGAGTGTAGCCTTACCAGGCCACAGAGAAAGACAATGAATCCAGTCCTGATGAGACCTGAAAGACTAGCATCAGATGGAAGAGGAAGAGGACCTCCCCTATCAGTGGACTGAGAAAGGGGCATGGGTGGAGAAGAGGAAGGGAGGGTGGGGTTGGGAGGGGAAGGAGGAGGGGGCTACAGGTGGGATACAAAGGGAATAAACTATAATTAAAATTTTAAAAAAGAACTCCCAGTGGCCTTATGGACCTAGCCTTGGTACTAATCACGCAGACTTCTATCTAGTGTGCTCAGAAGTAGTGGTCACACAGAAGTAGAGGTTACACAGCTCTCTGTGGGGGAAACCTCTATAGACGCTGAACCACGTTTCTCAAAATAAAAAGGGAAGTGCTTCACAGTATCTACCGGCCAACAGCACACACAGCCAAGCCCACGGTGATGTTCTGCTTCCTGTAATATTTATCTAGGGCCAGTCTGTCGAAGGTGCCTTCCCATATGACTGGGGCCTGCCAATCAGTGGTCGTGATGACATCTAGGCGTCTCCTATGGGATGCATAAAAGCAGAAATAAAATACAACAGGTTGGTTCAATAATCAAAACTGACACTAGCCACCATGTCAAAAGCCAAAGAACAGCCACATGTTGGATGTTACTGCCTGGTAGCAGATGTTAAGCCTAAGATGGCACTGACTAAGTGACAGTCAGATTTGGTAAGCCCTACCTTGCTCATGTGACCCTGGAAATGACTCTCTCCAGGTGAGTGCTAGTTTTCTTCTGGTTCTTCCTGTGGGCACACTACTGAGTGACTGAGCAGGCAAAGCCACAGCATGTCCAGCCAGTCTAGCCTTAGACTTTGTGTTCTCTTCCTCCCAAGCTTGGGACTACTTATCATGATTGTTGATATAGTTTAACCAATTAAAAAAGTGGACATCGTTGGGTCAGAACCCTGGCATAGTCTTGGTTTTGTCTGAAGGCAGCACTGTGGGCAGGACCCTGGCCTACTAAGCCCCCTCCCCGCTCCTTTTCTTGCTGTGTGAACCCTGTGGTGTTCTAAACACATGGTTAAAGCCAGTTGTGTCATCAAACAAGAGTGAGACAGATTAGACTTGTATTCACCACAAGATCATCGAAGGATTAGAACATGCCAAAAAGAAGTAAAGCATTTAAAAATCAATGTAAGTCACTATATCAGAAGCTGAAGAAAAACCACGTGCCCAAATCACTCAATACTGAAAAAAAAAAACCATGATAAAATCTTATATCTATTCATGATTTAAAAAAGAAATTTCCAGAAAAATATGGCAATGGGAAAAATTACCTCCTCTTGACTTTGAAAAATTCTACATGCCCCATGGGTGTGGTAAGTGCACACGTTTAATCTTGGGAAGCAGAGACAGGTGGATCTGTATGAATTAGAAAGTAGCCTGGTTTACATATGTGTCCAGCCTAGCCAAGACTACATCGTGAGACCCTGTCTCAAAAAAAAAATCTACAAAAGTCCTACAGCTAACATGATTAATAGTGAACATCTGGCTTCTTCCTCCCTAAGATCAAGAGCATGACAAGGCTGTACCTCACCCTGCTCTTCAACAGTGACAGAAGCTGTGACCATTACAGCGAGGCAAGAAAAGGAGACCAAGGTATCAAACTGGAAATGAAAAAAAAAATAATACTGACCATAATACAATCAGCTACACTTAATAATCTAGCGTGTGTGTGTGTGTGTGTGTGTGTGTAGATCTATATTTAAAATACAGCACTATTTACAGTTGTCCCAAAGAAAGTGAAATACTGTAGCATGTCACAGTACCAGATATCAGCCACCTGCCTCCTTGCCAACTCTGGCATGCTTTCTGTCCCTGTATATTTGCCTAATGTGAGGAGATTGCTGAATGCTGCTCCACCCTGTCACTACACCACATTTTGCTTGCTTGTCCATCAGTAGAGGCACATCAAGATAATTTACCTTCTATACACTAGGGATGATGCCTAGTGAATATACCTTAGTTCACAGAACCGAGGGGATGGATCTACAAGTGAAATCACTGTGCCCTGTTCGAATTCTATAGCTGACAAGTGGCCTCACAATGTCACAGCTGGATCTGAAACTTCAAATTTCTCTCCATCCTAACACTTCTTTTACACTCTATCCATCTTGTACTCTATCCATCTTGTACTCTTCCCATGATGTCGGATTTGAACTAGTAACTTGATGTGGTTTTGATTTGCATTCCCCTGATGACTGATGTTGTTAAGTGTATTCTGTGTCTTCCTTGGGCATTAAATATATCTTCCTTGAAAGAAATGCTTGTTCAGATCTTTGGTCTTTTGTTGGTATAATGTTCTTGGGGAATGTATACAATTTACCCTTGTTCATTCAAATGCTGCTTCCTCTACTTCACTATCTGGTTTCAATCTGGACATTGCATTGTGATGTTTATTCTAAGCATCACCTGTCTTAAGTCTGTGTAAACATGCCACCATTTATTCTCCGAAATTTCAATAAAACAATCAGCTAGTGCTGCACAGTGGAGAGAACAGGGTGGGACATCCTGGTCCGGAGGGGAGGAGAAAGAAGCGAATGGGAGGAGTCAGAGAGGAGAGATTGGCAGGACAGGACTTGGAACCATGAGAAGAGATGAACTAAGATATGACTAAAAGCAAGTATAATGTGGGAAATCTGAATGGGAGGAAACTATGCAGGCTTGGAGGTTTAGGATGGAGTAACTATTGCCCAGCATTGTGCTCTAGGTAAATTAAATAAATCCTACTGTGTGGTAATTTGGGTATACAACTGGTTTAGGAATAACCACTGTTTAACTAAAAGTCAATAATAACCATTTATATTTGACAGAGGTCTATTTTACTACTATTTGTTGTTTCACAGTTACAACTGTTTATCAGTCCAAAATACTAGGTTTTTATCATATAGGTAACTTGAAAATATTTTCTTTATTGTACAGATTGCCTCTTCACTTTCGTTTTGTTTTTCAAGACAGGGTTTCTCCTGGCTTCACTTTCTCATATAGTATACAATGTTTTTAGTTCCTATTAAATCCACATTATCTGTATTTCCCTCTGTTTGTGCCAGGCTAAGAAAATTGGTCCCCTTCTAGAGCACTGGTGTCTATACTAAAAAAAAAAAAAAAAGTGTTGAACTTTATCAAATGCTTTTTTCTGCATATATTATGATGATCATGCTTAGGTCAGTACAGAGCCTGCCAGGTGGGAGCTACCAGACAGATGAGACAATGGGTTATCTGAGCTTGAGGATTGAAGGACTTCATGCTTCCTGTCTTCCTTGCGATGTGAAGACTGTTGTCTTCTAAGGGTATCATGAAGCAGGAGCTTGGCACTGGGACCAGGACATTAATTAAATACCCCAAACATCATTGTCCTCCCACAGGTCCAGGAAAGAGAAATCTGTTCTTCCATTTAACTCATTGGTTTTATGTGGAGGAAAGAGCCTTATACCTTTCATCTCTGCTGATATCACCTAAGAGACAGTTTACACATTCGCTCTATTGGCAAGTACCAAAGAGCAGGAAGATCTTTGAGAATTTATATAGGATATTGCCTTGGGAAACTATATACAAATTATATCTCTGAAAGTTGTATGTCAAAGGCTTAATCTTTGCATATGATGGTATTTGGAGGTGAGGTCTTATGAGTTGTTGAGTCATGAGGGTGAGGTTTGTGTCCTTTTGAAAAAAGAAGACAGCAGGCTTGCTCTGCTTCCTGTTTTGGCAGCAGAGGGATACTGTGAGAGCCATCTGCAAGTCAGGAAGAGGCCTCTCTGGATCCTAATTGTGCTGTTGTCTAGCCATGGGACTAAGCTTTCCATGAAAAATGAATTCTCTCTGCTTAAGCCTCCCAGTTATGGCAGCCAGAGTGGCCCAACACCAGTCCTATCTCCTTGGTTCCATTTTACCCAACATTCTATCCAGGAGGCAGGTGGTGGAGGCCCAGGAGCATTGGTCCCAATGGCAAGAACCACCCAGGGCCATGAGCAGTTTGGCAAGTGGATAGACTGGCTGTTTTAACCACAGGCACGGATGGTCACACAGGCCAGGAAAATGGATTACAGTGATAAAAAATTTTAGGTAATCATAACATGGCTTTGGGGAAGAAGTCCAGAATATTGCAAGTATGGCATATCCTCTTTCTAAAGTTCCTACCTCCTCATTCCACAAATAGCTGTGATAGCAACCAATGGGATCCTGAGAGGGGGAAGGAACACCCAGGTGGAAGAGACCTCAGGAGACTTGAGGCAGCCCCTTTAATGGGAGAACAAAGGCTACTTAAACCTTTGGGGGTGGATAGGGACTTTAAAGATGAGTGTACCTCATTGACCCAGGAGAGGGCGCTGGGGATACCTCATCTGGCTAAGGAGAAATTCCAGATGCTGCAGGACAGGACCTTAGAAGGGGTGACAAAGGTGGGGGCACAGGGTTACAACACCAGGGCTCACAGGCCTGAGTTAGTAGGGGAAAGCAATCCTATTCCTTAAGATCTCAGGACAATATTTCCAGGGTTTGGATGTGCCTCAACGCCACTCTTGTTCTGGCTGGCTCCCCCAGCCCCACAGTTCCTGGGACCCCCAACAAACCACTAAAATGGGCTTTTTCAGAATATGTACTCATATTCTGGATATGAAATTAAATTTAAATAAAAAGAGAAATGAAATTCTGATCAAACAGGGTCACATGATTGGGCTTTAGGACTCAAGATGGTGATTATGTCAGAGATGAGGGCAGGCCAAGGGAACAGGAAGGGCAAAAAGCCAGACACAATGATAGGAAACTGTAGTTCTTCTTTTGTTTTTTTTTTTTTAAAAAGCAAATTAAAGGATAGGGAGCAGGCATCATGGGTAAATTACTAGTCTTCCAAGCATGAGGACCAGAGTTCAATCTCCAGTAGCCACACAAAAATCCAAGCCCAGGACTCATGCTTATAGACCCAGACCAGGAAATCAGAGACAGGAGGATCCCTGGAGCTGGGAAGCCAGGTAGTCTAGGCAAGGCAACAGGCTTGCAGTGACAGGTGTGAAAACAGCTCCTGGGGAACAGCACTCAAGGTTGTCTTCCAGCCTCTCCACACATCAGCACACACGTGCACGAGCACACATGTGAACACACGATTTGAGTGGAGTTGTATGGGACAATGATGAGAGCTGCCATGATAAAAGCTAGTCTCTGTCTGCATCTGAGGTACACTCAACACACTCATGTAAAAGCAACTCCTCAAGAATGAACAGCGTTTAAAAAGTGTTCACATCACAACTGTGAAAACAGACTGAAGTGACAGCATTTAACAAGCTGTTTCACCAAGAACAGAAGAGTCGCTAGTTCTTTGTGCAAATAAAAAAACGGGGCTGGGGAGGTGGGACAATTGTTAACAGCACTGGCTGCCCTTCCAGAGGACCCAGGTTCAATTCCCAGCACCCACATGGCAGCTCAGAACTGTCTGTAACTCCAGTTCCAGGGGATCCAGCACCCTCACACAGACATACATGTCAAAACACCAATGCACATAAAATAAAACTAACTAATAATAATAATGAAAAGAAAAAATAAAGTTGTACAGTTGTTAAAGGGAAGCAGCAACTTTATAGCAAATTTTAAATGCTGTGGTGTCTGCTCTAAAGACTCCATTTTAGAAATGTATTCTGTGGATAAACCTAGTCAGTGCATACTCCGTCCAGGGTCCTTCATTTGTTATGGCTGCACAGGAGAATGGTACCCACGAGGACCTGGTTAACAAGCTGCTGTAGAAAAGAGTGAGTCACACACACACACACACACACACACACACACTCACACACACACACTCCCAGTGCTGGAGGCCAGGGCAGAAGCAACAGAAGGACAGAGAATTCAAGGCCAGCCTGGCTTCTGTTTAAAGCAAGGGCTGAGGAGATGGCTGTTGATAAGTGTTTGCCAACCACCAAGCATGACTTGAATTCCCAACACATTAAAAAGAAGAAGAAAAAAAAAAAAAGATGTGGGACCAGCAGGATGGCTCAGTGGGCAAAGGTGCTTGCTGCAAAACCTGATGGTCTGAGTTTGATCCCCAGGAGCTACATGATGAAGGAGAGAACTGATTCCTGCAAGATGGACTCTGACCTCTGCATGTGTGCCACAGCTCAGATATGGGTGTACACAAACACACAGACAAATAAATGTAAACAAAACAATAGGTGTAGTGTCACTTGTCTAAAAATTCTAATCCCTGGAAGGCAGCAACAGGTCAAGCTTACTGGCCAGCCAATCTAGCCAATCAGTGACCCCGAGGTCCAGTGAGAGACCCATTCTCAGAAACCAGGGTGAAGGGTAAACAGGGCAGACACCTGATATCAACTCTGGCCTTTATACATACAGAGGAGAAAGGAAAAGAAAGACACACACAAGTAGAGAAGCAGCCACTTCATTGCGGGAGGCACCCACACCAATTCTGGACCTGCAGGTATGGTTAACCTTTCCCGTTCCGCAAGGGCAGGCAGGGGCTGCTGGGAGCGTCAGCAGTTGCCTTTTCCTGTTGCTTCCGAATGAACCTGAGGGAAACCTGGATAAGTCTGGACCTGACTATTTCACCCACTGTTAGCCCCTGGTTGCTTAGATTAAGGCACAGTGATGGAGTCGTAGATACGCAGTCTAGGTAATATGAGTTGATTATGCATGTTCAAACGCCAGCTGCCTTATGACCTTACCCCTGCTTCCCTGCCATCAGCCACAAGGCCCATCAACCCTGGACAGAAGACGAAGATTTGAGACTGGCTCTCCATCTCCACACACCAATGCCTAGTGAACACACTCTTGCTCTTCCAAACGCTGTCCTCCCAGCCATGGCTGCCCTGCAGAGTCAGGGTCAAGAAGCTACATCATATCTCTTCCCCTGAAGAAGCAGGAAGGTTAACCATGAACCCAGTCCAAGTCTGCTTCCTCCACAGCACCAAGACAGCCTGTCACGGGGACACCCTTTGGCCTTATGGCAGAATGGTGGGAACAAACTCCTAATGCCAGGTGCCCTAGCAGAGGGTTGTACAGAAACCATAAAGTGACCTGTGTCTTTGCTCTTACCTGGGGTGAAACCAGACTGAGAGCCGAAGTTCTCCTTTCTGCTGCTTCCTGGTACAGAGTGCAACAGGTTATTGTGGCATCCATTGGTTCATCCCTTGCCCACTGAGCCCACACAAGGCAGTCTCAGCTCTGCTGCTCTCTGCCTCACTGCCTAGCCTCATCCTCCAGCAGCTTTCGGACAGGGTGGTGGTAGATTGCTAGGGACACAGATGGGGGCCAAGGAAGCAGCTGGGAGAGGAGGTTCTCAGATAAGGGGGTTGGGGAACAGGTCAGAAAAAAAGTGGGACGAAGAAAAAGGTACCTTGGTGGGAGAAGGAAAATGTTACCAGAGGATGTGTACTCATTAAAGGGTCATTTACATAGTGTAAAGAAGTTGGGAGGAGCCCATGTGCTTGCCTTTGATTCCCACCCCTTTTTCTATGAGCTAGGGTTTCACTATGTAGCCCTGGATTGCCTGGAATTCACAATGTAGACCACGATGGTCTTGAGCTCACAGAGATCCACCTTCTCTGCCTCCAGGGTGTTGGGATTAAAGGTGTGTCCACTACACCTGGCTACCTCGATCCTTTTAAGTGCAGCTGCTTCTAGCTAATGGGGTGACATCCAGACAGGCACACTGTGAGGGGAGATAGTGTCTGTTTGAAAAACCAACGTTGGTGACTTAGCTTAGCCCACTTTCAATGAGCTCAGAGCAGTCGGATGCCTACAACCAAGCAAAGTCGCCCACACTCAGACTTCCATGTTAGAAAGTGATGAGGGATTTATGGGCTTCCTGAATCAGATGACTGCTCAGGAGCACTTGCCTACCACAGGTGAAGAGTCACTCAGGTTAACTAGTGTAACCACCAGCTTGGCAGCTTTCGGTGTACTACCCAGGGTGTTCTCTAACAGCACTGACTTCCACAATCCATCCTTTTCTGATGTGATCTGACATGGCCTTAGCACAGATATCCCATTACCTAACAGACTGCCTCCCAAGACAGACAGTCAGAAGTCCACAGCACAAGAAGACCCTCATCAGACAATTCATGACAAGTGGGGAACTTGCTTAAACCCACTGAGTTGGGGGTGCTAGAGAGATGGCTCAGTGGTTAAAGGCACTTGTTCTTCTAGAGAACCGAAGTTCAGTTCCCAGAATCCATGTCAAGTGGCTCACAACTGTCTGTGACTTCAGGGCATCCAAGTCCAGAGCCACAGGCACCTGCACCCACATATAGTCACACACACATACACTTAGCTTAAAATAATTAAATCTTTCTTTCTCTCCCCTCGTCCCCTATCTTCCTTCCTTCTTTCTTTCTAGGCAGTGTCGGCACACACCTTTAGTCTCAGCACTAGGGAAGCAGAGGCAGGCCTTGTTTACAGAGTTAGTTCTAGGACAGCCACGGCTACACAAAGAAACCCTGTCTTGAAAACCAAAAGGAGAAAGAAATAGAGAGAGTGTCTCACTATGTAACTACATACTTCCTGTGTAGTTCCAGGCAAGCCTTTGCCTCCCAAGTTATGGGACTAAGGACATTTGCCACAATTCCTGGCTATGTCTGCTTTTCCAGTGACACTAAAACACAGTGTGACTTATAAATAGATCCAGGAAGAGGCATAGAGGAGATAGGAGTTAGAAGTTTCTAGAAAAAAAATTGGCAGGTTAACTGATACTACTCTAACAGTAGTCTTGTGTATTTAAGACACAAGTTTGGAACTTTGGGGTGATTATAGTTCACGTGGCCTGGTGGCTGAGAACTTGCTCGGCATGCTGGAGGTCCTGGTTCTATCCCCAGTAGAACAATATTAATAATCTTAACAATATTAATAATCAAGAACTCTCGTCTGCCTGGCTCCATTTTCATGACATTATCATATGACATATGAAATTCCAGTGTGTATGAAATACCCCCTGTGGATAGGTCTGCTATTTTCCAGCATCTGGAATGGAGCCTGGGACAAGATACTCAACAAATATCCATCTGGCATCTGAAAGTAAAAGAATTAACATGTGCACATGGTGTCCCCAGAGAGGAGGTAACTTCCGGTTCAGTAAAGTGCTAATGGCATCTTTGGATGAGATTTAGCATTTAAACCACCTTAGGCTGCCTGAAGGTCATGACTTATCAGTATTTACCTGAAGTAGATTTTAGCCATCAGCAGCAGGAAGAGGCACGAGATCAACAATAGCATTCTCTTTTTAGCTTTCATTCCTTCCTGCAGGAGGGAAGAAGGAGGTTCTAAGTGTGGGTTAAACCCATGCATCCCAACATCCCTAACAGTGGGTTAGTGTCTGTACACACTTGGACGCCAACCCATCAGCTTCTTCTAGAATAATCAGAGGTTGTCTCTATTCTGCTTGAAGTGCCTTTGGAATGATCCTCAAAGATGTGGAACGGGCTGACTCTCCTTGTGTTCCCTGGCGAAGCAAGTCTCTCTCCTCTCTCTCTCTCTCTCTCTCTCTCTCTCTCTCTCTCTCTCTCTGTGTGTGTGTGTGTGTGTGTGTGTGTGTGTGTGTGTGTGTCTTGTTTTACACACAGGTATCTTCAATTGCCCTCCACCTTATTTCTTGAGACAGGGTCTCTCTGAGTGTGGAGCTTTTCATCTCCCCTAAGCCAGCTGGCCAGAAAGCTCTGGGATTCACACATTTCAGCCCCGTTTGTGCTGGGACTCCAGCAGGTACCACCCAGCCTTTACAGGGTGCCAGGATCAAACTCAGGTTCTCATGCTTGAGCAGCAACCACTTTCCCCACTGAGCCATCTCCCCAGCCTGCAAATCCATCTTGTTCCCATGAAATAACTGCCATGAATCCCTACCGTGGGGTTGTGACAACAGAGTGGATCAAGATGATGAGGTCTTCCTGAGCTGATAGACTGTGCCCTCAAAGTTGACCTTACCATTTCTTCGCTAGCAGGCAGAGTGAGGCAGACCAACCGGAGCCATTTAAGCAGAGACTTGCAAAGAGGATCAGCGGCCACATTAAAGGCAGGAGGTTCCATAGCTTAATCTCTGCTGTAGTCAGCATGGAGCCTAGGTTGGAGGCTTCACGTGGATCTGTTTGAATACTGTGTCCAGCCTGCCATATGGCAGCATGCCAGTGTGAAGAGGACTCTGATAAGATTCACTGCTGAGATTCACTCGATAAGCTGCTGGGGCAGGGGTTGCAGGAGGTTTGGGGAGAGCCCTGAGTTGACTGCACTCTAAGTGCACAGAACACGCCAGCTTTGGCAGCCAAGCACAGCATGAAAACATGGAAGCTTGAAGGTCTCTTTTGTGTTTTTATATTGCTTATTCATTTATGGGATAACAGTCTGGGTGTTGCAATCCAGATGTAGAAACTCATGAAACAAATGTGTAAAATAAAGTCACCTACTTCTTTTGCCCTCTGTCACATGGTTATCAGAAAATAGGACATTACAAGTGGCTCACATCCTTACTCCCCTGGGCAATTTTCATGAAATGTTTCCCTGCTCGGAGATGCCCTCGCCTCGCTATTTGAAATTTGACATCTTTTAAGCTCACTACCATTGGGAATACATGGACAGGTCAGCTGTGGTCCAGCCAGCCAGCTGTTCTGTCTCCAAATGGATCCCAGTGATATCTTTTTTAAAGATTTATTTATTTATACCTATGAGTGCTCTATTTGCATTATCACTGCATGACAGAAGAGAGCATCAAATTCCATTGTAAATGGTTATGAGCTATCATGTGGTTTCTGGGAACTGAACTCAGGACCTCTGGAAGAGCAGTCAGTGCTCTTAACCACTGAGTCATTCCTCCAACTCCCCCCACCCCACCCCAGTGATATCTTGTCAACAAATTCAGAGGCCAAGGTGAGGAGATGACCCCTACACACAATATTATTTTTTTTTTTGTATGCTGAAACAGGGTCTCATTCTGTTGTCCAGGCTGGCCTTGAACTCACAATCTTCCTGCCTCATGTTTCCCAAATGCTAGGATTACAGATGTGCACCAGCAAGCCTAGCTAGCAGATACAACTGTCCAAAGCCCCAACATCTCTCCTTCAAAGGCCCCTTACCTTGAATCAGGGCAGTGTTAGGAGATAGCCAAAAACATCCCTGAGGACAAGTGTTCCCCAGGAAGAATATCTCAAGGACTTTGCCAAGTGAAGTACCTGGTTGTATCTACTGCTTTTGTGGTGGGTGACTTCTGTTAATGGTGATGTCACCAGCATCACAATGGTGCCTCTCTAGTTGGTTCCCTTCATGATCAGAGGACATGAGTTGGTCCCACTGGAAACATGAAAGGACTTCTGAGAATATCCTGTTGCTTCTTTTGTTGTAGCATTTGTTCTAAGGACAAATGGGACATTACAAGTGGCTCCTGGTAGTGAAGTTTTGGATGGCATGGTGCTGTATGCCCTCCCTCACTCTCCCATCTTGCTGTAGACACTACTCATTAACCTAGAGAGTGGACCCCTTCTACCTTCTCAGACTTTTGTTTATGTGTTCTCTGTTTACTGACACAAGAGCAAGTTTTCACTGTAGGCATCATATGAACCTACCAACACACAGTTGTGTATGATTAGAACATAACCCTGTATTTATTTGTTTGTTCTATTTTGGAAAAATTAGGAAACAAAGTGTAAGTGAGGACAGTTAAACACATCCTTGGGCTCTGGCCAGCATCCAAAAGAAAAAGAAGAGAAGAAAAAAGAATGCTTCTGAGTCAGGACTCAGAACGGTAGGCAGACACTAGCAGGAGAGAATTCTGGGAAGAAAAGGCACTATATTCTAAGGTGAGCCCACATTCCTAAGGGCAGTTCCTAGCCAGGTTCCTGACTTGCCCACTAAATCAAAACTTGAAGGAGGAGACCAGAGGTGACTCCACCTAGAGGTAGATTCCATCCGTTACAATCCGTTACAATTGTGTCTGAAGTCAGAAAATGGAGGTGGATGCCAAACCCCACTTAACACCCAATCCTCAGGAAGGTTGGCACATCCATGCCAGTCTCTGTCTGAGCTTAGCTGCTGCATGTAGCCCAGGCATCTCTCACGCTCCCTTCCCTCTACAAGGACACTCTTCTAGCAGGGATGGCTGAGGCCCACACCTTCCTGCACAGGCTGTTCACCCCCAGATCTCCAGCCACAGCAATGTGTCAGCTCCATTACTCCAAATTCAGCTGCTTCCAACAGCCAGGTGCACTAATACCCGTCTGACAGACTTCCTGTCAGTTATGGTTTGCTGTTTGTAATTTAATCCACAAGGTAGTCAGCCAAATTCTAAGGGTGAAAAGAATCTAGCTATGGTGCTTATAGCCTGAGGGGGATGATAGGTTAGGTTAGTCATGAGGGTGCAGCTCCATGGCTCAATCCTGGGGTCTTTGTATTTGGGTAAAGTTATGTCTCTGTGTTGCCCAGGCTGGCATCCAACTTGCTATGTAGCAGAAAATGACTTGAACTTCTGATTCTTCTGTGCCCACCTCCCAAATGCTAGAATTACAGGCATATTCCACAATGCCCACTGGGGATAGGACCCAGGCAAGTACTCTACCAGCTGAGCCACATCCCAGACTGCCAGTGACTTCGCTTGCTTTGCTTCAAGGTTGTCATTTCAAGCTGCCTAAGCTGAAATCCAACTCCTGAATGTAAGCCATTCTCCCATTTTACTCTCTTGAGTGGCTGGAATAATAAGCCAGGCACTGTGCCCAGTCCAGAATGAACGAACACACATACATTATTATTATTATTGTTGTTGTTGTTGTTGTTGTTGTTGTTAGTCTGTTATACAATACATCCTGACCACAGCTTCTTCTCCTTCCACTCCTCCCAGTTCCATCCCCTACCTCCCTGTACCCCCAAATCCAAATCCACTGCTTCTCCATTTCCCTTCAGAAAATAGCATCCTCCCAGGGATATCAACCAAATACAGCATAACAAGATACAATAATAAGACTACTCAAAAACCTTCATGTCTGAGCTGAACAAGGCAACCTAGTAGTAAAAAAAGTATTCCAAGAGCAGGTGAATGAGTCAGACACACTCCCACTGTTTGGAGTCCCACATAAACCCCAAGCTACACAACCACAACATATATGCAAAGGACCTAAAAAAAAACCCACGCAAGCTTTTCCATTGCCACTTCAGTCTCTGCGAGACCCTATGAGCCCTGCTTAGTTGATCCTGTGGGCCATATTCTCCTGGTGTCCTCAACCCCTCTGGCTCCTACAGTCCTTCCTCCCCCTCTTCTTGGGGTTCCCAGAGCTCTGTCTAATTTTTGGTTGTGGGTCTCTGCATCTACTCCCATCAGCTGCTGGAAGAAGCTTCACTGATGAGAATTGGGCTAGGCACCAATATATGAGTATAACAGAATAGCACAGAAATAATTTCACTGACTTTTTCCTCCAGTCCTGTGTAGTTCTACCATAGGTCACTGGGCTATTCGGCTCTGGTTTCTGCTCATCCAGGCAGTGAGGGACACGAGTTCCCTTTTGTGGCATGGGCCTCAAGTTAGAGCAGTCACTGGATGGCAACTCCCACATGCCCTGAGCATGTGTCCCAGCACATTTCGCAGGCAGGACAGATTTTGTAGCTGGGTTGGTGTCCTGGTCCCAACACTGAAAGCGCTGTCTGGTTACAGAAGATGGCTGCTTCAGGCTCCATACCCTCCATTACCAGGACTCCTCGCTAAGGCCACCTTCATAGGTTCCAGGAAGTTTCCAGTGTACCAGGTTTCCACAACACCCCCAAATGCCCTCAGTTTCCGTCATCTCTCCCAGCACTCTGTTCCTCCCCTGCCTAATCCTCCTGTTCCCATCCCTGCCAGTCCCTAGTCCACATACAAAACCTACTTTATTTCCCCTTCCCAAAGGCTCTTCCTCACTTTCTCTTCTATCAGGTTCAATATGTCTGGTTTTGTGTTGAGGTCTTTGATTCACTTGGACTTGAGTTTTGTGCAGGGTAATAAAGATTGATCTATTTGTATTCCTCTACATGCAAACACCCAGTTAGATCAGCACCATTTGTTGAAGATGCTTTTTTTTTCCCCATTGTATATTTCTGGTTTTTTTTTATTTTATCGAAAAATGGGGTGTCCATTGGAATGTGGATTTATGTCTGGATCTTTGATTCCATTTCATTGATCAACATGTCTGTGTTTATGCTAATACCATGTGATTTTTATTACTATAGTTCTGTAGTACTTCTTGAAATCAGGGATGGTGATACCTCTGGAAGTCTTTTATTGTTCAGGATTGTTTTATCTATCCTGGGGTTTTGTTTTTTTTCTTAGTTCCTTTGCCATTTGTATATAAAACAGGTCCCATTTTTTTTTTAGTTAATTTTTTATCTAGCCACTACACTGAAGGTGTTTATCAGCTGTAGGAGTTCCCTGGTAAAATTTTTGAGGCTGCTTATGTATACTATTATATCATCTTCAAATAGCAAACTTTTGACTTCTTCCTTTCCAATTTGTATCCCCTTGATCTCTTCCAGTTGTCTTACTGCTTTAGCTAGGGCTTCAAGTACTATATTGAATAGATATGGGGAGAATGGACAGCCTTGTTTTGTTCCTGATTTTAGTGGAATTGCTTTGAGTTTCCATTTAACATCAAAATGTTTGCTATAGGCTTTATGTAACTTGCCTTTATTGTGCTTAGGTATGCATCTTGTATCCCTGATCTCTCCAAAACTTTAGTCATGAAGGGGTGTTGGATTTTGTGAAAGACTTTTTCAGCATCTAGTGAAATGATTAAGTGTTTTTCTCCCTTTAGTTTATTTATATAGTTGATTACATTGACTGATTTTTGTATGTTGCACCATTCCTGCATCCCTGGGATAAAGCCTACTTGATCATGGTGATCATGTTGATGTGTTCTTGGATTCAGTTTGCAAGTGTTTAATTGAGTCTTGGGACTCTGCCAGCAAAACCTCCATCCCCAGATATGACCCTTTGATCTTGCACCTCCAGAACCATGAGCCAAAACAATACTTTTTTTCTTTATAAAA